CCCCCCCCGACCCCCTGCTCCACCGGCATGGCCCTTTCACCGAGAGCTCTCAGCCAGCACCCGCGGCACCAGCAGGACCTCAAGGGAGCGGTGCTGAATGGCAGTGGCAGCCTCTGGTCCTTGATCACAGATGCCCAGGCCCTGGCTGGCTACTAGGAAGAGGTCCGAACGCAGCTCAGCTGCTGCCTCCGCTGGGAAGGTCTTAGGTCTTCGCTGCGCAGCCTGGAGCCGCGTGGGACCAGACATAAGTGAACCACATAAAGGACCAGGCTCTGGCCACACTCGCCAGTCGCTGCTTCAACAGCCTCCTGGTGTGAGGCGTGACTCATTTTTAAATCGGCTTTATGTTGGGGATCCCCTAGAACGAAGGTCATGGCCATCAGGGTCGGCTGGGCGCCAACCCCGGAGGCTAAGCATGCTGCCCTCACCTCCACTGTCGGCTCCTGTCTCCCTCCTGGGACTGCGTCACCCTCACCAAAGGCAGTGCCATGCCTGGAGCCCGGGCCAGCAGTCTCGGCCTTGGATGTCCCTGGAAACCCCACCCCCGTCCCACCCCACTGCGGGGTGGATCCCGCAGGCTGGCTCCGCGGGAGGTGCACTCACCTGCCTGGCGTCCTGGAAGGCGAACTCCGTGGGCACCGCGTTGTGCTTCAGGTTCTTGCGGTTCCCAAAGGCGCTGAAGCACTCCGGGCGGAAGTGCTCCGAGCAGATGACCGTGTGCTGCTTGGGCTGGAAGTTGCCCCGCCCGATGTTCAGCACCCATTCCTTCAGCAGCTCGGGCCGGCTGAACGGGAACCTAAGGGCAGAGGAGACGGCGGGAGGGATGAGCGGGCATTCTCACATCATCACAGGGTATCTAGACAACTGGGAAAATCTAGTCACCGCGCTCTGTTAAACCACATCCAGTTTCTGGAAGCTTCTGTCACGCTGTCTACAGCATCCTTCGGAAATGTGAGACCATGAACATGGCCAAAATGCTGTTTCCGAAGCTACGTGCACCAGGTGAGCCTTCATCCGTCCCCCTGGGAGCCCGCCATGTGCGGGGCCTGCTGGGTGCTGCGGGGAAGGAGTAAGACAGCCAACGTTCCAGAACAGAGCAGACGATAACAGACAGACCTCTGTGGGAACAGAGGATGCGGTCAGGGAAGGCCACCTGAGAGCTCTCGTTTGAGCCGAGGTTGCTGGGAGCGGGAGCTCACGTGTGTGGGTATCAGAAGGGAAAGCAAGCGGCAGGCATGCGCCCCGAGGTTAAAGGAGCGACCAGAGCAGATTTGGCTGAGACAGAGCAAGTGTGGGATCAAAGGACATGCGTCTCAGGCAGATGGGGGTCCCTGGAGGCTCTGGACAGAGGGTGAGGACCGAGCCCAGCCCGGCGGCTGCAGGAGGGTAGGACTTGACAGAGAGCTCTTTGGGGGGGGGGGGGGGGCCAAAAGTCTAAGTGGAACGGGTTGGAGAGTGAACCGAAGGCAACTCCACCCCAGGCATATACCTGACTGAGACACAGACACATGCACCAAAAGGCTGGTCCCAGCAGAAATGCTGAGCCGTGTGGCGGCCAAAACACAGAGGCACCCAATGCCCTTCAGCAGAACAAGTTAATTCTGGCTTCTGCAGTCAGTGGAATACGACGCAGCAGTGAACCCCAACTGAGCATGACTCACAACTGTGGACAAAACCAAGGGGGTTCTATGGAGACTCCCAGGGTGATCTGATCATAAATTCCTAACTGGGCAGGTCCTGCTCGGTAGTCACACCCCCAGCCTGTAATTTCTTTAGGAAAAGGTTTATCTTTGCCTTGTCCTTCATTTTTATGCATCTAGTTCGCACACCTTGTTAACGATCCTGCAATCTAATCCCCCCTTGCTTTCTCCCACCCTCATGTAATCTTTACATTCCCTCCTTAATTTCAAACGCATAAAAGAAACCTGGAAACGGATAAAGTCTTCTAAAGGTTTGGACATTTCTTACGGGGACATAAACATAATGGTGAAAAAGAAAAACAAGCAAGCAAGCAAGCAAGCAAGCAGAGCTCTGGCCGGTGTGGCTCAGCTGATTGGGCGTGTTCCGTGCACCCAGAGGTCGGCGGTTGGATTCGTCCGGGCACGTGCGGGTTTCAAGCCTCCTGGAGTTTAGCAGATGCGGGCGGGGGGGCCTGCCCCGGGGAGAGCGCAGCTGGGCACTTGTTTTTCCGGGGGTTTAAAGACTGGGCTGGAGGCCCTAAGGGAGGGTCAATTGAATACGCATCAGCTTCAGGCTGATGTGCCAACATGAGGCTTATTCCGACCGACACCTGTCCTTCGGCGTGGCTGGCCCGGCCCTAACTGGAGTTCGCACTGAGAAGTGCACACCATGGCTCCTCGGCGCCCTCGGAGCGGGGAGGCGGCACCCTGCGCTCTGG